TGTTTAAGGACACATGAAGAGAGAAGTTAATGTCGCTAATACCAAACAGCACAACCAAGAGGCACAGGGATGGCTAGAAGGCACTGTACAATTCTGAACCACCAAGAAAAGATTAACTTATGTTCAGTAGTATGTAATTGGCTCCAGCAAAAGGCTGAGGCATTTTTGTAAACATGATCACGAGCACATGTCGAAATAAAAACAATTGTTCTCTGTGATCTTTACCTGAGCATAGTTGTTTTTAATTACAACACGTTATTCCTTGATTATCTCAAGATCAATCAGTCTATCACACATACGCTCACTCCTAAACTTGTACACACAGTGTATAGAACTTTAGGGATGCGTGAATGAGAAAGGTGCTTTTATTTCGATTGATAAGTGTATTTGTTGGGCATCTGGATTGTTTCCATGTCTTTGTTACTGTAGATTGTGCTGCTGTTAGTTTAGGAGTGTAGTTAACTTTCTCATGTGCCAATTTGCTGGGTGATACAGCAGATCAGTTGTCTTAGCCACTCTTAAGTTTTTTTTACCTACTATAAAATTAAAATGCAATGTCTTTTCTCTAGTGAAGAGCAGTCTGCATTCTCTTAAACATATTAGGCTTACACATTCCTTTTACTGAGAAATGAGGTGTCCTATCTTGTTTTTAGGTTCCTCTGCTCATTTTTTCAGTATAAGCAAATAATCTTTTTAATTGTGACAACTCTCTTCCAAAGTGTGTCTGGTTGATCTTGTCATCTGTCCGTTTAAATTGTGATGTGAGGTTAAGCTGCTACCTGCATGCCAGCATCCCATATGCATACTGGTTCAGGTCTTGGCTGCTCTACTTCCACTCCAGCTTCCTGCCAATGTATCTGGTAAAGCAACAGAGAATGACCCAAGTGCTTGAATTCCTACACGCTAATGGGAGACATGGATGAGGCTATTGTTTCCTGGCTTCAATCTGGCCCAGCTCTCTCTGTTGGCATTTGGGGAGTGAGCCAGCAGTTGGAAGATTTTTCTTACTCTGCCTCTCAGTAGACATATTTTTACATAAATAAATGGAATTATCTAGTATTTGTTTAACCTCAGCAAAAACAAGACCGATGGAAGATACTTATTTTTGCCTGTGAAGTTTGCAGTGAAAGCTAAAGCTCTTAGGATAATTATTCAAGAATACTTAAACCATTAAGCCATCACTTGTTTAAAAATAATTTGGAAGATTAGAAAATGGAAATAGGAATCTTACCAACAATGGGTATTTTAAAACTGTTTTCTTATCTGTCCATCTTCTGTCATTAACTACCCTTGCCTTGCTTAGCTCAGTGACAGTAAGCTGTGAACCAGCAAGAATAAATATCTAAAGCCAAAGATTTTTTTTTCCTTAAAGATAAAATGACTAAGAACTCAACAGGATAGGAACAAGAACACTCAGCTTTTCAAATATTTGCTATCCATAGGAGATAAAGAATCAGAACATATTTTAAAATCCTCAACCTTCAAATGTTGGCATCCCATATGGGGGCCCGTTCATGCCCCAGCTCTTCCACTTTTGATCCAGCTCCTTGCTTGTAATCTGAAGAAAGCAGTGGAGGATGGCCAAAAGTCTTGGGAACTTGTGGCCATGTGGGAGGCTAGGCAGAAATTCCTTGCTCCTGGCTTTGGATTGGCTCAGCTCTGGTTGTTACAGCCCTTTGGGGAGTGAACTAGTGGATAGATCTTTCTGTCTCTCTTTCTCTCTGTATATCTGCTTTTCAAATAAAGATGAATAAATCTTAAAAACATCTCTCTGATAAGCCTACAGGACAATAAAAAATCAGCCTACACTTAGAAATGTGAAGAATAATTTTCACCTCACATTTTGGAGTGAATTTTAAAGGGTATGAGAATATTTAGCAAGATTTGTTAGCACTTTTCGAACACTTGTTACATTTGTTAAATACTAAATTTTCATTGTCCGATAACTTCTTCTGATTCTAATAACCCAAAATTAAGACAATCTCTCCTTATTTTTAAAAATGTTTTCTTGAAAAAAAAAATCTGAAGTTAATCAAGACACACACACACACACGAAAGGTTCACTTTTCAAATGCCTGTGATAACTGGATTTGCCTGACGAAAGCAAGAAGGCCAAAGAACCCCAAATTCAATCAGTCTCCAGCACAGATGGTAAGAACCCAAGAAACTGAGCCATCCCAATGGCCCCAGAGACTACTTTAGTCTCAGTCATTCTGATATGAGACATGGCCATGCTGACTGGAATCTTAATTGCCAAACCCAATGCCTACCCCTCTCTCCTCTTTTATTCTGTATTTGAATTTTATCTCATGCAAAATGTTGAAGCCTAGAGAACATAATTTGTCATACCACATCCTCAAAAACATTTGAGGAAGGATTTTTTTTTTTCTATACTGTTGGAGAAACTAACTTCATTCTCTTAAAATTAGTACTGTGATGGTGTTTCTGTGACTTTCATTTTAGTATTAATAATTCCCCTCTGTGATGTCAGTGTGTTTTTCTTTTAGTAACAATAATTACCTTCCTCATCAGTGCCATTATCGATTCCATTTTGCAATTCATTGATCTGCAGAATTGATAAAATCAGTTTTGATCTGTCGTCTTTGGGATCTTTGCTTTAAAATTTTATTAGTTGCCTGGAAACTCTGTAAGGTAAAAAAATAAATATGACATTATAACCATTGCTTTGTTTTTCAACAAAACTCAAATATTAAAAGAGGTTATGAGCTTCAAATTATGCAATAGAAATCAAATTTGAGCGAGGGGTGGCTTCTACACCTAAAGTTTCAGATATATGTTTGTGTCATGGAAGGACTTCTCATTCCCAAGGGCTGTTGTCCTGGAAAGTAAGGCTGGACAAACCTTATGAAAATGGAGCATTTCCTCTGTGCTGTCTCCTGGGGAGACCTCCCGTGCTCTGTTGTCTGTGAAGGAGGCTGGAAGGAATGGTGATTGCTGTAGGGCACAGGTCAGAAGACCAATCTTTTGAGATTTAAGCAATTCTTTACCCTACTTTGCTCTAAGTTTAGTGGCTGTGGACTGACCATGCACAGTCATGCGTGGTTAGTAAATACTGCAACATCTTGTTTCTATTGAAAAGCTCTGTCTTTAGAATGCTGGCACACTAATGGTATGAACCAGTTTTACTGAGGATACAAAGTAGCTTAGTGATTTTATTTGCTTGTTTGTTTGTTTGTTTTTGCTGAGGGGTGTCTTGTTTTGCTTTAGCTGTGATCATATTGCCAAGGTACTTATCTTGGTATTTTAAATACTTTAGTTTGACTTTTTAAAACAGCAGTGGTATTTGCTATGTGGTGTGTTAAAGAGATCTAGTTAATTATCTTATAGAACATGTTTTTTGCAGTGATCTCACTGCCAGTCCTTCAACATTAATCAATTTTGCTCTTTGACGTTGCTGAGACTCTCCATTTTAATCACAGTGCAACTTGACAGGTGTCATTTTGAGTGCCAGCAAATGGTTGATCTGAGGCAAGAACAAAGTTTTAGAAAGAAACTAATTCTAGCATTTGCTTAATGATTTGCCCTTTGCAGCAATGGGCTCTTATCTGACCACCCACATTCATCTGCTTGCTGACGTGGTTCTTGCTTCAATTCCAGAAGCTATTTTCTGCATCTTTTTTTTTTTCTTTTTGTCTTTTGAGGAACCAAGTGGGCCTTCTTGCTGGTAACGATTCATGTCTCAAAGTGCACAGGGTGTCCCGGAGTCCTACTGTAGTGAGGTGCAGAAACGAGGTGATGGGCTGTGTGTGTCGGGGGTGGAGAGATTAAACCAAACAACTTCCTTTATACATGCATAGGGCTTCATGTGCTCATGCGAGCTGATACTGGGACAGAATGTATTTTAATTCTCCTCTCTTAAAGTTTCAATCCTTCGTGGAGGCTTTTGGTGTAGTGTATCAATACAAAAGCAATGCTTAAAAAAATAGATTAGCCATACCGGCCTTTGAGTAGTCCAGTAGAGTTTTTTTTTTTTTTTTTCTTTTCTGTGAGGCTTTTATACTGCAGAATAAACCTTCTGGAGATGGCTGATGATTAATCAGTTTGAATTAAATGGTTCGGTCTTCCTTGTGTTTCTTAGGATCAGACTTGGATAAACATTCATTGTAAATATGAGAAAGTCCCTTTCTTCAATACTTCAGTAGAGTTTGTGAAATCTCAGGGGCTGTACTTCGATTTGTTTTGGATTCCACTTTCAGAAATTAATTTTAGCCCAGAACATAACATTGCTGGAATAAACTATAGGAAAGAATTTGCTGTGAGGATTATCTGAGGCCTCGTCCTGTAGTTGAATTGCTGATGCACCAAAAGAAGTTTCCTGAAAGTCTTAGCTGTAAGCATGGATTCAATCATGTATTCGTCCCAATACAGTAAGCTTTAACTCATTTTATTTTATTTTATTTTATTTTAAAGATTTATTTGTCTTTTATTGCAAAGTCAGATATACAAAGATAAGAGACAGAGAGAAAGATCTTCCGTCAGATGATTCATTCCCCAAGTGACCGCAATGGCCAGAGCTGAGGCAGTCTGAAGCCAGGAGTCAGGAGCCTTTTCCAGGTTTCCCATGCAGGTGCAGGGTCCCAAGGCTTTGGGCCATCCTCGACTACTTTCCCGGGCCATCAGCAGGGAGCTGGATAGGAGGGGGGGATGCTGGGGTTAGAACCAGCACCCATATGGGATCCTGGCATGCATAATGTGAGAACTTTAGCTGCTAGACTACCACACTGGACCCTCATTTGATTTTTTTGAAATTACCTCTTCATTCATGGTTATAGGCAAATCTCTTTTAATACAAGCATTTATCCAAAAAGATACAAATTATGCTAAAAGGATATTTTTGTTGACATAAAAAGGAACTTTCTTGTGAGATTGAATTTCCAAGTTTTCTTTCCAAAATAAGGTATTTTGTGTGGGTGAAAAAGCAGCGTGCCTCCGGAATTCATTGCCGTGCAATCATCTTTGAAATCTTGTTCATCTTTCAGGTTCCCAGAAATTGTGCATGCGTTCCCGCAGGAGAGCTGGCACCTTGCAACGCAGAGGCGGCCGTGATGCCCTATTCTGATATGAGGATAACAGGTTATTAGCTGCCGTTTACTGTTTTATTCTGCTGTTTCTACATTTACCTTGAGAAGTGGTTTGGGCCTACAACAACTCATACGTGAACCAGACCTGCTATGAAACCAAAGAAACAGTGTATATTCTATCCAAGGAGAAAAATGTTGTGAGAATTTTGTTTAGTTTTGCTTTTCACAGCAGAGTCAGTTTTAAAGGTAACTGCCTTAATTGAGATAGCCTCATCTGAGACAAATTTCTTCCTTTCCAAAATCATTTTCATGTGAAATTCTACTTACTTACATTCTTAGTCATCTTTATGGTAATTACTTTTACTGTATGGTGGGGAAAACATTCCACTAGAAAAGTGAAATCACAATTGCAAAAAGTAGCAAAAGTATTTGTGGAAAAACATTAAAAGCACTATGCTAGAGTCAAAATAAATCATCTTGACTAAATATGTAAATTCTACAAATATCTTTGGTGATGTCTTCATTGCAACCCGTGTGGAAAAATATAGTTCAGTTTTCCATTAGGTCTTAAAGATCAAATTAGATTTAAAATATGTCAAATTATAGGGTTATCATCACAATATTTTTACTTTGCCCTGACGAATTCTCTGAACTGCTTGGCAATGCTGTATGCGATACACATATTCCTCCTCCCGTTGGCAACTGGCTCAGCTTAGTGGGAATCAAGGTTGTCAGGGCGGGATTTTTGCTAAGAGAGGTATTTAGAATGATTTTGGCTTTAAGAAAAATGCCTTTTTACAATCCTTCTGAGGAACTAAGTCTGATTTCAGCCAGACTGTGGCACTGGTCGTGCCTTTGTGGAAGGTCCTTTCTCCGCTTTGCAGGTGCACTGCAGGCAGGGGACAGGGAGCAAGCATCTCAGTGGGCAGTGGGCCGCCAGTGCTGGAGTGGCCGTGCTCCGAAATGGCCATGCACTGCCTCCACACTTCAGAATCTGTGACATTTTAGAACCAAATGCATGGCAGTCACTTTGGAAATGTCATTTAATAATTACTAACATAAGACATACAAGTATACAGGGGTTTTCAGAAAGTTCGAGGAAAATGCAAATTTTGGAAAAACAGTACCTAGGATTTTAGACTTCTTTTTGCACCCAGAAACATATCATGATTCCATTTTTCATAAAAGTTTGAAAAATCCCTTTTATTTTCTTTCTAATACCACCGCATTCTCAAAAAAGACCAAATAATCATTTTACAAAACTGTTTCTGTTGCTACATTATTGGAAAGAGACAAGAGTGAATTTTTTTTTGTTGTTGTTGTTGTTGTTGTTTTTCTTTGGCTTGTCATTCTGTCCTGTTATTTAGGATGTTATTCTTTAATGCTCGCTTGACTTCTGCCACCATCCAGTGATGATTAATTTCCTGAGATAGAGTTTTTTCTAGGCTAGTGTTTTTCTAAGAAGAACCTTCCGGATTGACAGCCCGGATACTGTAGGCCTTTATTCATCAGCAGAGCAAGCCTGCCTTCCTGCCAATGCCACCAGCTGTTATCCTGGAGGGACCTCTGAGGAGGTCCGCACAGGCAGCTGTGGCTGGACTTTTCCTTTTTCTCTGAGGAAACTGGTTAACTGGGTGCCAAGTTCAGTTGGGTGGGACCATGAAGAAAGGCCAAGGGCGATGACATGCTCAGGTCAGGAACATGGCAGCTCTCCCGTGTGGTCCCACTTTGATTTCTTATGCTTCAGTTCCTTCAGTTCTGTCACTCCTGAAAAAGCTATGCAGAGGAGAATAGCGTTGTCAGTGCTACTCCCTTCCGAAAATGACCGTCCACCAAAAAAAAAAAATGCCTCTCTACACTGACTGTGTTTTGCCCTCAAGTTTTGTGTACCATCATCGCCCACTGGACGCTTCCACGTCAGATCTTGTAGAGTTTTGTCATCTGGTAAAATGTCCCCCTGCTCTCACAGGGCTCCGGAACGTTAGGGAACATTTTAGATGAGAGTGTGAAACTGTGTTTGGAATACCGCTCCTTTGTTGGCAGTGGGTGCCAAAAATGACTGTGTGGGTTTGGTTACCATAAAAAGAAATCGCAGTGAATAAAATGATAACTAGCTGTTTCTGTATAAGAATCGCTCTCATGTCGCATTTTTAAATGTATCAATTGACAAGGATAATCAGAATTTACTTTCAACATACTATTAGAGAATCTTAAAAATGAATTGAATCTATATGATTGTAGAGAAATATTGTAGCCATAATTAACTGCAATACTATAGACCTTACAGCTCTGAGTACATTGAGAAATGCCAACTAAAATTGTAGGTTTATACAATAGTACACTTGATGATTTGTAATAATATTGTGAAGTCCAAAGAAAGTATTTTCTTAGGTGAAAATGATCCAGTTAATACAAATTTCTTTTAATAATATATATGTTTTCTCATGTACAAACATTTTCATACATTTTAGCAATAAATACTCAGGATTCTATGCACTGTTTGGAATGGTGAAGGCACTTAGCTAAAAGTGTTACGCCTAAAAAAACAATCAAAGTGTTGCTATCAGACCTTAGACTAACTTTGAAAGCCCAGTAATTTTTAAAATGAATTTATTGTCCTTGGTGTGAGTGGAAGAGAGCAAAAAACTTTTAGACCTTTCCCAATCGTGCTTACCTTGAAAGAGAAAGACATCCCAAATGCATGATTCAATAGTAAGAATCCGTATTCTAAAATGTCAGTAAATTCCCCAAGTGCCCCATCACTCATTTCTCTTTCTCAATTTTTCTCAGAAACTTCTAGAAGGGAAACGATTTTATGGGTAGTGCTTAGTGGAAGGATCTACATGAAGATGGAAGAGAATATTACATCCTTAGATAATATAGTTTTCTGATCTAATGTAAAAAGGTTCCTATGAAGCAGGAATGATTTCAATCTCCTAGCAGTATTTGTTTAAGCCTATACTGCAGTGAAAAGTCGGAAACAGCTGTTCAGAGAAACGTTGACCAGAATGGTTGCCTGCCATTGAAGCCTTTGGTTCAGACCCCACGAATGAAGTTAATGCAAGAGAATAGAAACGTGGTGCAGGATGTCATGGATTAAATAGAGGCGCATCATACATAGTCTTACCTTAGAAATGTAAAAGGAGAAGATTTTTCCGATTGAATCCATTTGCATGATTGAGCTCATGTATTCATCACTGGAATTAAAAATTTAATTTTGAAAATCTTCTGGGCAATAGTTACTGTTAGAACACTATATGATGATCCTATGGAAACTTTAGCAAAATTGTTTTTAAATAAAACGGCAAATAAGTAGATAGGGTTTTATTTTCTAATTCACTTTCTTCTCCTACAAATAATGTTCTAGAGAAGTTTTGCTCTGATAATTATATATATGCTTTTGAATTTATGCAAATCATCATTATCTACTGGTCTACTCTCTCTGTTAGTAGACTGTTGCCTTAGGATTTTATTTAGATGTGCTTGTGGATGCTGTGTGCTTACTAAATAAGAATTAGATGTATCTACTTTAGGGTGTGGTAGTCTCAATTTTTTGTAAGTCATAAAAATTCTGTTTTTTATAAATTACGTATTTGAAAGGCAGAGTTAGGAGGATGTTTACCTCTCTACAAATTGACAGAGGTCGTATCTACATGAACCTTAAATTTTTAGCTAATTAAACACCAAATTCAGCCAAGTGAGATTCAACATTCTGTTTTTGTCTTCTTACATGCTGGCTGGATTTGACAGGAGCAAGTCTGTCTTGGAATACAGGGAGGTCATCACTTCTTTTCTGAGGGCGCTTAGGAAGATCTCTGTGGTGGCATGAAGGCACTTGAATCCAATTGTAGAACCTGCAGCACAGTAAGGTTTAACAGGATGAGTTTGGTGGCCTGTTATTTGTGACAATTTACAGATCTGTTTTTCTAATCTAAAGTGCTGTGCTTCATGACTGTCAGAGTGGGAGCTTTTGATTTTAGTTATCTTACCACAAATATCTTTAGGCTACTGATTTTTCATCCCAAAGTTGTGTTGCTCTGTGGACATTTCCATGTTTTCTTCCTTTCTCATCGCCATCGCGGAAGAGTTGTATATGAGGGAGCCAATTTGCCATGAATGTAAGAACAGTACTGGAATTTAAGCTTAGGAATCTGCAGTACATTGGAATGATAGCATCTTTTTTTTTTTATTATTCCTCAGCATGTTATTCAACTGTTCATGTTGAGAGAAATAAGCAAAATTTACCCAATAAGATGAAAAATAAAGGTCCTCTGTGACTCCTTGGTTCTACTCCTGTGATTTAGCTAGTGGAAAAAGTTTGGCATATCAAGAGGAAATTTCTCTGTAGCACGTGTTTTTCTCCTACACCAATGGATTCACAATATACAGAGGATGCAGTAGACTTTTCTTCCTTGAATGTAACTGTCACCTGATTTTTTTCCACATGGGTACTTAGACGTGTACTGCATTTTTCTATAGTCACCAGTTTCAGAGTTGCACCATAATGCATTTACATAGTCCTTGTACACATATTTGTGTGCACTTAGACAGCTATATCGGTAATGATTAAGTTTACCCCAATGGAATATTTGAGCCAAATATATGAACTATTTTACAATTGATAATTACTGCCACCTTTTCTATTAGGGACATATATCAGCTGCCATTTCTAGATGCACCAGATAAGGGTTACTGGCTTTAGGTAGCACGCTCTGCCTCCATTCCTCCTTGTCCTTGTTGTCTTAGGGCGTGCAGCCCTGGGCGCCCTGTCTGTTTTGCACTGGAAGTAGGAATCTGTAAATTGATGTTTTATACACTAATATTGTGGTTCAATGGAGCATTTTTTTTTCTATTTGTGTTGTACCCAGGAAGCGTCAGGACAATCATGCCCTTGAGAATGCTAAACTCTTCAGGTAATTATTTTATTCTTAAACTGTTCCTTTAAAACATTCTCCAGATTTCCTTTGCTTTCCATATTCTGAAGGCGTGTAGTGATTTTGTTTAGATGTACTTTTCTGCTTTTGCAAAGTTCTGTGATAATCCTCAATTCTTACTACCTTGGTCTAGTGATAATAATTGCTGGTTTTAAGTTATAAAAACATATCCATAATATGATATTTATATACCACATATAAAATGGTCCATATTTTAATGTTTTGTGTATTAAATATTGACATATATGCAATGGTAAATTTATATCATTAATAGGCATTTTATACTTGCTATATATTATAGTACTATATAAATCTTCAACATATAAGTGAAAATTTGGTTAGGAATGGTGGTTAATCTTTTTCATCAAGGTTTTGAAAATCTAATGTATGTATAAATAACATAGTTTTCCTGAATGTAGTTTAGTATATGAAACTAAGAAATATTTTAAAAGATATTCAAAATTCTGACCTGGAAGAGAATTTTTTGGAATTAATATGCTGGCGCTGGCACTTGCAGCACATAGATTAGGCTGTTGCCTGCAGTGCTAAGGTCCACATGGATGCTGGTTTGAATCCCTGCTGCTCCACTTACTATCCAGCTCCCTGCCAATGTGCCAGGAAAGCAGAGGAGGTTGCCCCAGACCTTGGCCCTTGCCCCCCTGTGGGAGACCTGGAGGACGCTCCTGAATCCTGGCTTCTGCCTTGGCTCAGTTCTAGCAGTTGTGGCTATTTGAGGCAGCAAAAGGAAGAGTTCTTTCCTATTTCTCTCTGTAATTCAGCCTTTCAAATAAATAAAATCTTGTTAGTTGTTAAACTAATACATCAGTCATAAGTAGAATTTTTTGAAGTGAAAAAAAATGTGCTGCTTCTGGATTGGCTGTTTAAGGACTGGCTTGAGTTTCTCATTTGATAACTGATGTGATGTCCTCTTGCTTTCCTTTTCTGTAGGTCATTTTGTGTTAGTGAAGCTGGCAGTTGGACTTTGCTCCAGTTGATGGGCAGAATTTCTTGAAGACTATCCATCATCCCAATTTCATCTTAGTAGAAAGTATTCAAATGCCATAAGATACCTTTATATATTTGCACTTAACCTTTGGATGGACTTTCTGCCATGGAGAGAACTGTGTTATAGCCCTGGTCCAAGGACGTCACCATCTAATGCCCGCTGCCTATGGTGTGGCTGTGGAAGTTTCCAAAGAGAAGGAAGGATCAGCAAGTGTGCAGACACCCTGGAACATGGAAGCGGCCAAGCTTTAAAAAAGCACAGCTTTGGAGACACTCCATGCGTCTTCACAGCCTTCCTGTGAACTAGCACTTAAGACCTTGCATGACAAAATGGACACTGGGGACACAGCTCTAGGACAAAACGCTACCTCAAGGTCTGGAGAAACTGATCAAGCAGCAGGTAGATGGAGACAGGAACCATCCGCTGTTATTAAGATGAGCACTTTCGGCAGTCAGGAAGGACAGCGGCAAACCCAGACTGATCCTGAGCAACTTGGAAACACAGCGTCAGCACAGCTGTTCGGTTCTGGGAAGCTAGCCTCGCCTGGCGAAGGGGTGCAGCAAGTCCCAGAGAAGCAGTACCCGCCGCCCCACCCGAGTCCTTACGCATGCCAACATTCGCTTTCATTCCCGCAGCACTCATTGCCACAGGGAGTCCTGCACAGCAGCAAGCCCCATCAGAGCCTCGAGGGCCCACCGTGGCTGTTCCCCAGCCCTTTGCCAGCCGTCGCCTCCTCCGAGGACTTGTTTCCCTTCCCTCTCCACGGCCACAGCGGTGGTGGTTATCCTAGAAAAAAGCTTTCCAGTCTAAACCCTGCTTATAGCCAATACTCCCAGAAGAGTCTCGACCAGGCAGAAGATGCTCACAAGAAAGAGCACAAACCCAAAAAACCCGGCAAATACATTTGTCCGTATTGCAGCCGGGCCTGTGCCAAACCAAGTGTACTGAAAAAACACATCAGGTCCCACACCGGGGAAAGGCCGTACCCGTGTGTCCCTTGCGGTTTTTCTTTTAAGACGAAGAGCAATTTGTACAAGCACAGAAAGTCGCATGCCCATGCAATTAAGGCGGGGTTAGTACCTTTCACGGAGTCAGCCGTATCTAAATTGGACCTAGAGGCGGGTTTTATTGATGTAGAAGCAGAGATACATTCAGATGGAGAGCAGAGCACAGACACAGATGAGGAGAGCTCTCTGTTTGCCGAGGCTTCCGACAAAATGAGTCCCGGCCCGCCCATGCCGCTGGATATCGCCGGCAGAGGTGGCTTTCACGGGTCCCTGGAAGAATCGTTGGGAGGGCCGATGAAGGTGCCGATTTTGATTATCCCCAAAAGTGGGCTGCCCCTTCCGAATGAGAGTTCTCAGTACCTCGGCTCTGAGATGCTTCCGAATCCGTCCCTCAGCACCAAGGCCGATGACTCTCACACAGTCAAACAGAAGCTTGCACTGAGATTGTCGGAGAAGAAGGGACACGATTCCGAGCCTTCTCTCAACTTGCTGAGCCCGCACAGCAAAGGAAGCACTGATTCCGGTTACTTTTCCCGCTCAGAAAGTGCAGAGCAGCAAATAAGCCCTCCCAACACCAATGCAAAGTCTTACGAGGAAATCATCTTTGGAAAATACTGTCGGCTGAGTCCGAGAAATACCCTCAGTGTTACGCCCGCGAGTCAGGAGCGCGCCAGCCTGGGCAGGAGGGGTCTGACAGAACCATTACCTCACGTCAACACCAGGTTAGACATCCAGATGTTTGAGGACCCCGTCTCACAACTGATCCCCAGCAAGGGCGATGTCGACCCGAGCCAAGCCAGCATGCTGAAATCCGCAAAATTCAACAGTGAGTCCAGACAGCCCCAAACGGTTCCGTCGTCTGTCCGGAACGAAGGAAAACTTTACCCGGGACATTTCCAAGGCAGCAACTCAGCACTCCTCGAAGCTCCTGTCGACGCTTCCCCTCTCATTAGAAGCAACTCGATGCCAACCTCTTCCGCAACGAATTTAAGTGTCCCTCCTTCTTTGAGGGGCAGCCATTCGTTTGATGAGAGGATGGCTGGGTCGGACGACGTGTTCTACCCGGGCACCGTGGGCATCCCCCCTCAGCGCCTGCTGCGACGGCAAGCAGCCTTCGAGCTGCCTTCGGTCCAGGAGGGGCACTTGGAGGTGGAACAACAACACAGCAGGGCATCCAAGGGCCTCCCTGGCTCGTCCCTGAAGGAAAAGAAGCTGGCTCCTGGGGAGAGAGTTGGGCACGACTACGATGTCAGCCGGAGACCCCATAAGAAGTGGGAAGACTCCGAGACACCCAAGCAGGGCTACCGCGAGATTTCCAGCATGGCTTCTCTAAAACACGGTGAATACTTCATGGATCCCGTGGTGCCCCTGCAGGCTGGGCCCACCATGTTTGGGACTGCGTGTGAAACCAGAAAACGCCGGAAAGAGAAGAGCGTGGGAGACGAGGAGGACACTCCAATGATCTGTGGCGGTGTTGTCAGCACTCCTGTGGCCATGATGACTTTGGATTATGACCCTAAATTGCACATGCAGGAAGGAGGGAGGGCTGGGTTTGGCCTGGCTGCCCACGAGAACCCTTGTCATGGTCACCCTGAACGTTTTGACCCCAGTCGGCCTCCGCTGCAATCTGGAAGCTTCTCTCTTGGCTCAGAGGAGTCACCGTCAGCCACAGATTCAGACAAGACGTCAGATCTAGGGGGCAGGAAACCCCCCGGGAATGTGATTTCTGTCATCCAACACACAAATTCCCTGAGCCGGCCCAATTCGTTCGAAAGGTCTGAGTCCACAGAGCTGGCGGTTGGCACACAAGACAAAGTCCCTTCACCTGAAACGGGTGACAGCGAGGTTTCCGAAGCTCCCGTGAGCCCCGAGTGGGCTGCAGCCAGGGACAGTCTGGACAGTGGGGGCAAGCCTTCCCCAGCCCCGCAGGTGCCGCAGACCTTCCATACGCAGCAGCCTCGGCTGGTTCGCCAGCACAACATCCAGGTGCCAGAGATTCGAGTGACCGAGGAACCGGATAAACCAGAGAAGGAGAAAGAAGCGCAGAGTAAAGAGCCAGAGAAGCCGGTGGAGGAGTTCCAATGGCCCCAGAGGAGCGAGACCCTCTCCCAGCTCCCCGCGGAGAAGCTGCCGCCCAAGAAGAAGCGTCTGCGTCTTGCAGACATGGAGCACTCCTCCGGGGAGTCGAGCTTCGAATCCACAGGCACAGGCCTTTCCCGCAGCCCCAGTCAAGAAAGCAACCTGTCCCACAGCTCTAGTTTCTCCATGTCCTTCGAGAGAGAAGAAGCCATGAAGCTCACGGCGCCTCCCAAGCAGGAAGAGTTTGGAAAGCATTCGGAGTTTCTGACTGTCCCTGCCGGTTCCTACTCTCTGTCTGTCCCAGGCCATCATCACCAGAAGGAAATGCGGCGCTGCTCCTCAGAACAGATGCCCTGTCCTCACCCAGCCGAGGTTCCAGAAATTCGCAGCAAATCCTTCGATTACGGAAACCTGTCCCATGCTCCTGGGGTAGGGGCGCCGGCCTCCTCCGCGTTGTCACCATCCCGCGAGAGGAAGAAATGTTTTCTGGTGCGGCAAGCCTCCTTCAGCGGTTCCCCTGAAATCGCCCAGGGTGAAGGCAGTGTGGATCCCAGCGTCAAGCAGGAGCAGCTGGAGCAGCTGCAGGCTGGCCTCAGGGCCGCCTGGCACCATGGCCCGTCCTCAGGGCTGCCTCCTCCCCTGCCAGGGGATGACCCCGGGAAGCAGGGGGTGGTTCCTTGTGCCCAGTTGAGCTCCGGACCACTCCATCTGGCCCAGCAGCAGATCATGAGCCTGGACAGTCAGGAATCTTTGAGAAATTCTTTGTTACAACCAACGTCCTATATGACAAGCAAGCACTTAGCCGAGCAGCCCCACTTGTTTCCTCATCAAGAGACAATTCCGTTTTCTCCCCTCCAGAATGCTTTGTTTCAGTTTCAGTATCCTACTGTGTGTATGGTTCGTTTACCGGCTCAGCAGCCTCCCTGGTGGCAGGCACATTTCCCACCTCCTTTTGCTCCACACCCTCAGAAGAGCTACAGCAAGCCCTCCTTCCAGGCAGAAATCCATTCTAGTTATCCCTTAGAGCACGTTGCTGAGCTCGCGGGCAAGAAAACCGCTGAGTATGCACCCACGAAAGAGCAAAACTATCCGTGTTATTCAGGCACATCAGGGCTATTCTCAAAGAACTTTCCTCCTAAATTTCCAGCGGACCAGTGCAGTAAGTCAAGTGAAACTCCTTCCGAACAGATTCTTCAAGAAGATTTTGCCTCACCAGATGCTGGACCTTTGCAATCGTTACCGGGAACGGTGGTTCCTGTTCGGATCCAGACACACGTCCCCTCCTATGGAAGTGTCATGTACACAAGCATTTCTCAGATACTTGGGCAGAACAGCCCTACCATTGTCATATGCAAGGTCGATGAAAATATGACCCAGAGGACACTGGTGACCAACGCAGCCATGCAGGGAATTGGTTTTAACATTGCCCAGGTACTAGGGCAGCATGCAAGCTTGGAAAAATACCCTCTCTGGAAAGTACCGCAGACCTTACCTCTTGGCTTGGAGTCCTCCATCCCGTTCTGTTTACCTTCCACTTCTGAGAGTGCTGCCAGTCTTGGAGGTAGCAAACGAATGCTTTCTCCTGCAAGCAGCTTGGAGCTCTTCATGGAAACCAAGCAGCAGAAACGGGTCAAAGAAGAGAAGATGTATGGACAGATTGTAGAAGAGCTCAGTGCCGTGGAGCTAACCAACTCAGACATCAAAAAGGACCTCTCCCGCCCCCAGAAACCCCAGCTGGTTCGCCAAGGATGTGCATCTGAGCCAAAGGATGGGCTGCAGTCGGGGTCTTCTTCCTTCTCCTCTCTGTCGCCCTCCTCATCTCAAGACTATCCAGCCGTCAGTGGGTCCACCAGGGAGCCTTTCCCACCCAGCAGGGAGATGCTTCCCAGTTCCAGGACAGCCCCTCCAGGGCGTAAATCCAGTGGGCCTTCAGATAGCAGAGAGTCCTCCGATGAGTTAGACGTCGATGAGACCGCATCGGACATGAGCATGAGCCCTCAGAGCTTGACCTTGCCTGTGGGAGACAGTCAGCAGGAAGAGGAGGGCAAGAGCCACAAGGTGCCATTTGGCATGCTGGTCCGCATGGCCTCTGGCCCCAGTGGCAACGTGGCAAACTCGACTCTTCTTTTCACAGACGTGGCAGATTTCCAGCAGATTCTTCAGTTCCCCAGTCTGCGGACAACAACTACTGTGAGCTGGTGCTTCTTGAATTATACAAAACCCAATTTTGTGCAACAGGCCACCTTCCAATCCTCGGTTTATGCTTCATGGTGCATTAGTTCCTGTAACCCAAACCCATCAGGATTGAACACCAAGACCACGCTGGCTCTTCTGCGGTCCAAGCAAAAAATCACCACAGAAATTTATACCCTGGCTGCTATGCATCGGCCAGGCACGGGGAAGCTGACTTCCTCAAGTGCTTGGAAGCAATTTGCTCAGGTAACCAATGCAGCTTGGGGTGGCACTTTGTGCTGTGCTTCTGATTGCTGAACAGATTCAGGGAACTGTGAGGTGGGGATGTAGAACTGGGTGAATGCTGGAAAGAAAGGTCAGGAAGGAAGTAGAACTGAACTTGGCAAAAATCAGAGGGCTTTGCCGTAGCCATATCTAAAGCACTTCTCACCAGAAGTAATCTTGGTGTATCTCCTTGAAACTATTTTTTCCAGGTTATTACCTGTTTCCCTCTGAACAGTCCAAGCTTTGTATGTATATATAGTATATATATATAATTATACATTTAAAATTCAATTTTTAGAATTTAATAATTAACAGCATTCATGGGAATAAGCTTCCAGTTATGTCTGTTACCATATTCTCTTTAGTAATATTTAGACAATTAGCACGAATTTTTAAAAATTTCCTACTTGACAATATAGAATGTGGTTTTCAGTCTTTATTACCATTGTACAGAGTAAGAACTGAGTGTGTTTGTTAAACAAAATGTTAAATATATTTAGTGGAAACAGTCATTCTTTGGCCTTGTCCCCAGTGTTCCTTATTTTACGTAAGCACCCCAAGGCTATTGGCCTGAGGTTCCGGCAGATTTTCACCGTTATGAAGTGTGGGATATAGGGAATATTGTATTTTAGAGAAAGCATGGGAAATGATTCTCTCTTTTTGTCCTACAGATGAAACCTGAAACAACCTTTTTATTTGGCAGCAAACTAGAAAGGAAACTAGTAGGAGGTATCTTAAAGGAAAGAGGGAAAGGAGATATGCATGGAGATAAAGATATTGGATCCAAACAAACTGAGCCAATCCGAATTAAAATCTTTGAAGGAGGGTAAGGAAACCTAAGTGCAAATGTGAAAGTCAGTGGATATCTACATGGACAACCTGGTCTGTTTGAGTGGATCCCTTTTTATCATGCTGCTTTTTCAAGTCGGCCTGGTAATAAGTAGACAATGAGTTTGTATTTCTGCTCCTGGAGCTTTCATTTGAATGAACATGTCCTTAATATGTACAGCTTGAACCTCTGCCTTAAACTGTTACAGCTCAACTCAGTATGAAGTGTACAAAATTGGCACACTGTTGATATTTAAGTTTGTTCATTCTTTGATATTGTTAGTGGTCATTTATGTTGTTTTTGTTTTATGCTTATAAAAACAAAACTGCACGTGGTCGTACAAACTAATTGATTTGATGGTTTTCTTTTATTAGTGTAAACTTTTTCTTTTATTACTGCACATTTTAATGAAATTCCACCAGTTCCATCAATGTCCATTTCACCCCATGATCCAAGTCAGGATATCATGGCATACTGAGTCACCAGGCTTTCCCAGTTTCCTCTGTTCTAAAACAGTTTTTTGGTATTTTGGAATTGCTCTTTAAATATTGGTTTTAATCCATTGAAACTCAAGTAATTAGATTCAATGGTTATATTATCCAAACAATTAAGAAATTATATGTAGATATCTTGTTTGAGATTTTGATAGAAATGTATCTACAGTTCAGTCACATAAGTTTATGCTTTTCCTTAAAAAAAAAAACTAAAATACATTAACCACATTTTAGGGATTGCATTGTAATTAGCCATATCTTTACCAAAAAAAAAGCACTATAATTTACATAACACAGTCTATAATTTGCATGAACACAAAACTATTTCGATTATATATGAAGAATAAAGTAGTATTGCCTGTTTGCATATGAAATATTCAATTTTTGGTGAGTTCAGATGCTGTTTTCTCATATAACTTTACCAGTTTGCAGGTAGATTATTGAAATTGATCCACCCCCCCCCCCAGATTTTTTCCCCTTGGGATAGGTAGAGTTGAACTCTTAAACCACAGTTGTGTGTGAGCATGAAGCTTCTCTCAAATATATATACATCTCATCCTTCAACACAAACAGGAGGATTAGAGATTGTATCTGTCCTCAGAGACTGAAGGCTTCTTCTAGTCTCAGCAGCCTTCTTTTATTGAGATGCACCTGTCCTACCAGATTCGTGAGCTCTTCATGGTCTGTCTCCCTTAGTGAGGAGCCCATCTCCAGCAATGATGGACATAAGTGAAAACGCATAGATCGTTTATTGCTGTGTTTGAGAATCCAAAGTGACTGTGTCCATATTTCATTTCTTTATACTTTCATTTTCCCAGGGTATGGGCTCTTTCCTGGTCGTTCCTTTACGTATGACCCAGGTTTTGCATGATGGTGACTATGTGACCATCATGATGGTGACTATATGACACCATTCTGGTATCGCCTCCTGTTTATGCCATTGCAAAACAATAGTGATCACTTAAAAACAAATATTACCAAATCTTTATATTTCTTATCTAAGTGATACATGTAATAATTCAGTAAAGCAGAGTTTAAAATATGTTTTTAATTATTATAAGTGTCCTACCAAGTACATTCATAGATCTGCAAAGCTGTTATATCGTAGATATTTTAGGTATATAGGTATTTCTTAAAAATACAGCTAATGTGATACTGAACTTTATTTTCGTTCTGGAAGCAAGTTAATTCACTAAGATATTGGGAATTAAATTATATTCTTTGGGAATAAAATGTATTTCCTCTTGATTGTGATGGTAGACTAAGTAAGTTTGAAAATCCTTCACCAGTGTGGCATGCATCATTACACTCTTAAGACTGTATATAGGAATTTGTTTCCTTTATGTAAATAAAAAGAAAAAAAGTTAGAAGTCCATTTCTATAAAATTGTTTCATTTTATATTCCCTCAAGCAGTTCCATCTAAGTAGAGGCAGAGAATTGTGATATTGGAAGGTGAAAAAGTTTTGCATTGTTAGCCTCTTTTCTACTTTTTTTTTTTGGAGTTAAAATGTCTTATTAAGGAGGGAAATTCAAGGGAGCAAAAGGCTTGTAAAATTTGTTCTTCATATGTGTGACTCCTCTTCACTATGATTTGGAATGATATTGACCAAAAAATAGATAATGGTAAGATTAAATAGCACACATAGTAGAGTTAATATTTAAATATGTGGATGGATTTTCTCTTTTAAGTACTCCTTCAGTGGTTTAAACGATTAAAACTGAATTTCCTTTATTTCTATACATAGATTAGACAAAATAGGGGCACTTTACAACATTCTTAGAATGTTATAAGATAAAAAAAAAATTGTAAATCTAGTGCCTTTCAAGTAAGCCTACAGTGAATTAGGTCCTTTTGCCTAAAGGTGTCAGCCTACCTTTGAAAATTATCTAAAACCTCCCCACAGCCCCAAAATAACATCTTTTGATATGACATGACATGTAATTCTGGCTTCTTGTGATATGAGACAGTGCTGTGCACTGACTCATTTGGTAGAATCCTAGCATATAACATCCCATGTTTCCTTGTATTCCAAAGAAAAATGGAATGACTGAGCATGGGGCAGAGGCTCCTTACCTCAGTTACCAAAGCAAAGAGCTAAGACTTTGTTCTAACCAATTGGATTAAACTAGATGACCTCAGATATCCTTTCAACCCTCTCTATGAAATCCTTCTGGAAGCAGATGCAAATCTGATTAAAAATAGAATCCCTACTTCTCATTATGTAACAGTACCTTCAAGAAGCCTTTTGAAATTTACATTCCATCTTGTTGGTTCAAATACATGGGCTTTGGGAAAAGCAGATCAAATCTGTAGACAACAGTTGGTGAGCTGAGCTCAGCCTGTGTAAACCAGAAATTCTGAGACAGTCCCATGCCAGAACTGTAAAAATAGAGTAGAAGCTTGGAATGAAGAATTCTATTATCGGTTATGCTTAATATAGCACATTTAGAAGGCTGTGTGTATTGTACGTGCACATCTTAGATCATATCAGGTGAACGAGCATTACAATACATTGGATGCTCTTTGGATGTCCCTTGACTGGAGGCTATATTAGGATTCACAAGTAATAAGGCGCAGATCTTTGGGGCTTACATAAGCCATTGGAACATTTCTGAGTCCATAAATTTACACTTAATAGCAGAGCCAATTCCATTTTGAATTCCATATAGAATTCCATTCGATTTACTGTGCCAAATCTATTATCTAGTTCTCTCAGGCATCTACTACATAAAATTCAAGACTTCATAAAAATAACATTGCATAATTATTTGTAAAACACCCTCATAAAGTTTGTCATGCAAATGATTAGCTTTAGGTTTGATGTATAACATGTTAAAAGTAGTTGGAAACACACTGGATTCTTTTCTTTTAAAACCAGGTATAAATCAAATGAAGATTATGTATATGTCAGAGGACGTGGACGTGGAAAGTACATTTGTGAAGAATGCGGGATTCGCTGTAAAAAGCCAAGCATGCTCAAAAAGCATATCCGCACTCACACTGATGTTCGGCCTTACGTATGCAAGTTATGTAACTTTGCCTTCAAAACGAAAGGTATAAGTCTGATTTTTATAAAGAGGAAAAATGCTTTTCTTATAAAGTATGGAAAAGTACTTTTCTTATCCTTAAAGTACTTAGGATGTTGAATACTATTTTGTGTCTAATTTTGATCGACAACAAGATGGTTTTGTTTTGTGGAAATAGAACTCCAATGTTATATGTATTTTCTCCCTTGTGATCAAAGGATGCTTTTGAGACTGTGAGGCTCCTTTTATGACTTAATGAAGAGCTACAGACTTAGATCCAGGCCAGTTGTCTCCAAAGGAAGTGGCTAAGAATTGCCTGGATGGCTATTACTTCATGTTGGAAATGTTATGTGGTCTAGATAATATTTGCACCAGTACTGAAAGATTGCAAGGGAACAAAACAGGCAGTGGTATTAGAAAAGCAAAGCAACAGCTCGGAAGAAAATATGTGTCCGTGGTCAGTTTCAGGATTATAAATAATGTAGAGCTCCACAGACTCCCAGGTGGGCCTCTCCATCCACGGTGGCATGAATTATGCATAGAAATTTGATAGCTGCTGTTCCGTGTATTTATCAGCAGGGAGACAATCCCTCACTCTCAGGCCACAACCGTTAATCTCATTAAACTAGGACTTGCCTTGAAATGATATTGTGTCCTTCCATTAGAAGCTGTTTGTAACAGGTAGATGTCTAGAAAAACATTTTACTCAAGAAGACTGCTTCAGTTATATGACTGTAATTTTATAAAAGCAAGGAAATATCCAGAAAACCATTATTCTCAGAATGCAGCTGGTGGTGAATTAGAGGCTGTTCGCCTTTTGCAGGAGCCTGTTTTGCACTGGATCTAATACGTCCTTCCGACCCACTGCTTCCCTCACCTCACATCGTTTCCCATGTCTTCGCTTTGAATTTGCATTCCATTTCATCTACTCTGATACTCTGTAAAAAACGTAGCAAATAAAATAACCCTCCCCAGAAAAACATACACTTCTTTGCCCTTGTAGTCCAAAATGCTGAATTGTTCCATTGATTCTTGAGAAGCGTTGAGTGCATGGCTTTTCCACAATTAGATTCTTCTTTGTGAAAAAAGCTATCTGTGTTTCAGATGTGCCTCATTTGAAGCCAAGACCAGAGACGGTGTTCATTTGCATTTCAAAAGAAATAAATTTGAAGTCCCTGAAATAACTTTCCACCTTGGTATACTCAAGCCTTTTGTTTAGACTCTCAGCAGATTCCTAGGAGATAAGAGAATACAAATTTTGCTTTTAGGAAATCCTACAGATTTTGCCATCATTACGAATTAATACAGCTTCACGTGGTGTATGTTTGCTGTGGCTACAGTTTTGTGATAAACTGAATGAAGATATGGCACATTGCTAGCTATTTCAAAAATCCGACTCAATCTGCTGTCAACCTTCAGGCTGGTGGTTTAGCAAGAAATCATTTATTCTTGGTCATTATTACAGTTGCCACGTGTGTACCCGTTGGGTATATGCAAATGTCCCAGAATTTTAAAATAAGCCAAATATCCAGGAAGCCCCAACAGTTTTCACCACCAGCTGCATTGCCTAATGTCTAAATCCCATGTCTTTGTTAGTGCAAATCAAGCACACTTGTAGGTCCCGTCCCTCACCATCCTTTGCCCTCCCTGACCGAATCCTTTACTTCAGAAGCTCATAACTTCAACCAACCAGTACTTTCTACTGGCACACTTGCTCTTCAGGCTCCAACTGAAGCCTGTCCACTTCTTGGCAGTGGGTGGAGAGAAAAACACAGAAGCAGCAGCACATATTCAAAACTAAATTAACAAATTATCTTGTCACGGTTAACATCCACACCTTACTCAGGCACATCATACTTGCACCCTGGAAAAATAAAATGATTATTAATTTATAGATTAATGAATTTATTGATGCAAGAATTCTTGGTATATGTCTAACTTTTTGAACTCTTTAGAAAATTGCACATGTAATTTTTTGATAAATAAGAAACATGGTACCTTGGTAATATTTCTGTTTGGAGTTATCAAACTAGCATGTACGATTCATTGGTTTAATAAATAATATAAATAAACAGGAAAAATAATGAGGCAGTGCCTCAGTTTGGATTTCTGGCTGTTGTATTCCGTTAATCCTGAGATTAACATCCTTACAAAGAGGATGGTGTAGCTCAACAAACTGAGGTTACACATAGTCAGGGAGCATTCTTAAATCATTTGGGGCATGCCGTGAAAGCATTATCAGAGAGCACAGAGGAAAGTAAGGTATTTTCATGAAAGTAGGTAGGAAGGTTCCTTAGAATTGAATTTGTTCCTGGATCTTTGGGTAGTATGCTATAGAATTTTTAAAATGGTCCTGTAATAGGAGCCAGCGTGATTGTATCATGCTTTTAAACTTTCATATATTCTAAATGGTGATAGTATAAAGATACAGCACACACACGTGTTGTGCAACTATAATCATGTTTTTCATCATCATCATTATGAGATACTTAACATGAAGCCTTTTTGTTCCTAAAAAGATAGGGGTTTGAATATAAATAAGAGGAGGTATTGCTAAAAGTTTGCTAACATGTGCCAGACAAATAGTTAATACTGGGAGTAATATTTCCTTGAATTTCTTTAGGACTTTGAATTCATTGAAAGGTTGACACTCAGATTAGCTTATGTATTCCCTTCCCCCTTTTGGTCAGTGGATGCTTGGAGGAAATATCAATGCCTGAAAGGCTGTTGGCCAACACAGGGGGGATGTGTTGAGAATATTTACTTCTGAAAGTTCTCAGTGCTGTGTGACCTAGCCTGTGTTGCCTTGTTTATGGAGAGTCCCAGACGCCTCGCCCATGGGACCCTGTCTCGGAAAAAGAGTCTGAGATACTCAGTCTTGTTACTCTGTAAAAGACATAAGCCTGTATTAGAATAGAGAAACTTGAGTTTGTGTACAACACTCAACAATTTGTATCTTCAGAAATCAAATTGTTCTTGAAGTTGAAACAAAGAATGGTGTATAGAAACAAGTCTATTTCACCCCCAAGATAATTTTGTACTGAGTTTTGGAGCGAACATTGCATTTTATCAACCAGTAAGTTTCTCTCTGCTTTGACTTGTCTTTTCTAGGAAACCTAACAAAGCATATGAAATCTAAAGCACACATGAAAAAATGCCTGGAATTAGGAGTCTCAATGACATCTGTGGAGGATACCGAAACTGAGGAAGCAGGTATATGCCAATTTAATGTACTCAACTCCTCCTTGTACACACTGAAGCTTTGTGGCTGGGGGTGATAGAATAAATTTTCCTGTTATTGGAAAACTGCATAAATATAGAAAATGAATTTGATGCATTGGATTACTTGAAATCTACTAAAGAGAAATAAAAGCATTTCAGTTGTGACTGTGGCTAGGGTGGGGGAGGGAAAAGGCTTTATTATGAAAATACTTCTTTCTGCAACTATGAAAGGAATACAATTGTTTATGCTTTGTGAGAATGATTTAAGGTTATAAAATTTGGAACTTTGAAGAGCGTTTTAGTAGATTACTGGGAAACCTGGTAGGAAAAAGAAAAAAAAAATACTAAGCTACAGTGGAGAACCCAAGGCCACACCTCCCAGGATGCACCTCTTCTACATAACCTTGTGCCTGTACCCGGAGAGAGCTAAATTGTTGAATCATTTTTAACTGTTCATACCCATTTGTGAGGGTTTTCTATGAGTGGTATGGTGTCTGGTGTAGCAGGTTCTATTCTGAGTGGCAGGGTGACAGTAAACCAAATGGATTCACAAAAGTCTGAATGAATGTAGGCCAAGGAAATGCTTGACAAGACTTGTAGAAGTTCAGAGGTGTAACTGTCTCCAGTGACTAGTGGGATAGGAGGAGCTTTCACAAAGAGATACGGCCTAATCAAGCTCCCAACCTTGTCAATTGTCAATTGGATCTTGACCTTCGTTATCTTTGTCCACCTGTTTCAGAAAATATGGAAGATTTGCACAAGGCAGCTGAGAAGCATAGCATGTCCAGCATTTCAACCGACCACCAGTTCTCAGATGCTGAGGAGTCAGACGGTGAGGATGGAGATGATAATGATGATGACGATGAAGATGATGATGACTTTGATGACCAGGGAGATCTGACACCAAAAACGAGATCAAGAAGCACTAGTCCTCAGCCTCCAAGATTCTCCTCCTTGCCTGTGAACGTTGGTGCCATGGCCCATGGGGTTCCTTCGGATAGTTCCCTGGGACATTCTTCATTGATCAGTTACTTGGTAACTTTGCCAAGTATTCAGGTTACTCAACTTATGACCCCCAGTGACTCAATTGAAGATACTCAGATGACAGAATACCAGAGGCTGTTTCAGAGCAAAAGCACAGACTCGGAACCAGACAAAGACAGGTTAGATATCCCTAGTGGTATGGATGAGGAGGGCATGTTGTCTTCAGAGCCAAGCTCATCTCCGAGGGACTTCTCGCCCTCAAGCCGCCATTCCTCACCAGGCTATGACTCTTCTCCCTGCCGAGATAATTCACCAAAGAGGTATCTGATACCCAAAGGAGACTTATCACCCAGGAGACATTTATCCCCGAGGAGAGATCTGTCACCCATGAGACATCTGTCACCAAGAAAGGAAGCTGCATTGAGAAGAGAGATGTCCCAAAGAGACATGTCACCCAGAAGACATTTGTCCCCAAGGAGACCCGTGTCTCCTGGGAAAGACATCGCGGCAAGAAGAGACGTGTCCCCTAGACGAGAGAGAAGATACCTGAGCACCATTAGAGCACCATCTCCCAGAAGGGCTTTATACCATAACCCACCATTGTCCGTGGGGCAGTATTTGCAAGCAGAGCCAATTATACTGGGGCCTCCTGTAAGTATAATTCACTTTTTCTCTACAACATGTAAATCAAAGCATATTGGATGCTTACAATACCACATTCGGGTGTAATCTGCTGTAAATTGGGAAACTCTTTGTGGAGGGTTGAACTTGGGTACAGAAAATGAAGCAAGGAGACGTTTTGGTTTCATGCTGTTGTCAGTAACACTGCTGTGGTGTTAACCTCCAGCACAGAATTTATGACATTCAGCAACTGATGAGGCCACCCTAAGGCTTTAAAGTTTAGCTAATTGTAGACATGAGGTGAGACCTTTGTGTGAGTTAAAAGTGGTGAAGATTTTAGAATGGCTTGACTGCACATTCGGATACCCCTTGATGACAGCCAGGTGTCAGTTAAAGATACTCTGTTCCAGGAAGGGATTCAGATCCAACCTGGACTTTCATAAGTTTGCACAGTCTACTTTGCCCATGGTAGATGGACACATGAAACATCAGGGACCAGGAGAGGAGGGAGTAATGCTTGACAGTGTTCATACATCAACGGCATGAAAATGTCTACTTTTCTGGCCATTGTCACCACTCGGTGCCCTTGTTAAGTAAGAGCATGGGCCCAAGGAGATGAGAAGATAGACAAGCTAAAAGAGCATGATTGAAGGGATTTCTATAAAGCTTTCCTTCCTTATAAATTAAGATGATATCAATAGTGGTTGTGGATTACACTTAAACGTAGGCATAATGCCACTCTTGCCCTACCTCATTGTATGGCACAGTAGATTGTGATGTCTCTTAAAATTGTGTAGGATTTTAAAAAGTGAATAAAAATAAATCAGGCACTTAATGTAGACTGAAAATGATATCTTTGGAGTCCGTTGGCTTTCACTGTGTTTTTGTTGGTGTCTTAGTTTGTTTCCTGTGTCTCTTTGTTGCACTGTCTTTGCTCTGGATTTCTGTCCTGTGCGTCAACCAAAGGGAGATTTGCCTGCTCTGAACTCAGGCTTGTCACTGCTCTCACCCTCCCTCCCATCACCTTCCAGGGCCCTGAGTCATACGCTCAGGTTATCACCTTTAAACTGGAAGCAAGCTCCCTGTTGCATTCCACTCCTCTTATTCTCCCCCACCACTCCCTTTCCCCGAGCCCAATACCAACTCCATCATGCTGATGCACATCCTGCAGCAATGTGCATAGCAAATCCGGAAGTAACCTCTTTGCCAAGAAAATTAATTACCAAGCTAAGGAAATGAGGCACATTTCCATAGTCTTATGTCTTGCAAAAGTACAGGTCATGCCATCACTGCGTAGAGAAGTAGATTCCACAGACTGCAGGGACCTGAGTCTACAGTGAAAGTCAAATACCTTGGTGCTGGTGAGCCTGCTGAGATGGTCTTTCCACCCACTCTTCAGCTCCTGCTCCAGCTCTGGCCAGTCAGACTGAGTCAGCCGCTCCACTCATGTAAACACACTGGCAATGGATGAGAGGACCCCATAGTCCACACAGAACATGCGTATTTTTGTTTATATATACACCCAGAAAGTTGTTGCTAGAAAATTGACTGTATTAGTTCCCGAGTTTGTACTAGCTTTCTGATTGTTTGAGGGGTTGGGGGAGGAGGAGGAGGAAAGGTTGTTATTTTTGTTTTTACTTTTTTCAAGATTTAGGAAGCCAGAACCATGCAACAATTGCCTAATCCTCCACCTGCAAGTGCCAGGATTCCATATGGGTGCCAGTTTGTGTCTTGGCTACTCTACTTTCCATCCAGCTCCCTGCTTGTGGCCTGGGAAAGCAGTGGAGGACGGCCCAAAGCCTTGGACCCCTGCACACATGTAGGAGATGAAAGAAGCTCCTGGTTCCTGGGTTCGGACTGACTCAGCTCCATCTGTTGTGACCATTTGGGAAGTGAACCAGCGAACAGATCTTTGTCTCTCCTTCTTTCTGTAAAATCTGCCTTTCCAACAAAGTTGAATAAATATTTTAAATTTTTATTTTTTATCTGAGATGAAGATTTACAGAAGGAGAGAGAGAGAGAGAAATGATCTGTCTACTTGTTCACTCCCTAAAGGACCACAAAAGCTGGAGCAGAGGCTATCCAAAGCCAGGACAAGCCAGGGGCTTTTCTCAGGTTTCCTGAATGGGTGCAAGGGCACAAGGACTTGGGCCATCTTCTGATGCTTTTCCGGGCCACAGGCAGGGATCTGGAATGGAAGTGGAACAATGAGACTCAAAACAATGCCCAGTCGGATGCTAGTTCTGCAGGGGGAGGATTATGTTGCTAAGCCACTGTATTGGCCACTATTTTTGTTTGTTTTTAATACCAGCTTACCTGTGTTAAACTTCAGCTTTGATGAAGCCTTTAGTTTGTTTCCCAGTTTAGTTCCCTACGGAGAATATATGACCTATTGCACTGTTTTAGTGATTTGAAGGATAGACTGTGGTATCCTCTAGGAAAATAAGACCCAGGGACCCAGATACTTCTCATGGGGGGCTTTTTTTGATTTAGAGGTTTAGCAGAGGATTTTCATTTTTGCTATGTGTGGCTAAGTTTTTTGTGATCAGATCAAGATGCCACTGACAAACTCTGTAAGGTATTCCTCCTGGCTATTGTGTAAGATGAGGGCTTTGTCTTCTCTGAAAATATATATGAGACTATAAAATGGGAATAATTCTGAATAATCCTTTTGATATAAATTCTGGTAGTGATACTTTGTCTCTTTGCTTAATAGTGACAGAGGGCCCATAGGACAGCTATGAACATGCTTGTAGCCCTGCATGGCATACCCGTGTCCCAGCTCAGCTTGGAGAGAGCAGGTCTGGGGAGAGGCAAGATGCAATCACTAGCCCTCCTACTGCTTTACCATTTCTGCCCAGTTGGCCTCTAGTTAGTTTAGATTGCTCGGTAGAACATAAAGTCCAGAGTTCTTGCTTCATTCACTAAGTAAATAATTTTGAGGATCTACTTTATATGAACATGGGAGTCAATAAAATAATGATTTTTCGCCTTACCTATTCTTTCTTTCTCCTTTCTTCTTTCATTCCTTCCTCCCTCCCTTCCTTTCTCTCTCTCTCTCCCTTTGAGGGACGAAAAGTGACAAACAGTTTCTTTTTGGTGGTTCACTCCCCAAATTGCCACTATTGCGGCTTGGCTGAGGCCCCAGCCAGGATCTGGGAACTCAGTCCAAGAGGCCCCCAGATGGGCGACAGGAACCCACTTACTTGGGTCATCATCAGTGTCTCCAGGATCTACATTCGTAGTTAGCTGAAGTTAGGAGCCAGAGCAAGGACTCAGATCCACGGATCAGTTCATTGCACTGACTCCGCTTCGGCTTCTAAAGACCCTGCTGACAATTTCCAAAAGTTCATGAAATTAACATTGAAAGGTTAATTTATTTTAGCACCAAAATTTAGAAATTCATGAGTAGCTTTTTTTTTTTTACTTTAGGTACTTTTTTATGAATTTAAAAAAAAAACCCATCATGCATGAATTTTAAAATATTTTTTGCACCAGAATAAGGTGTCTTTCAGGTCCATTTTCCATGAACTTCTGAAGCAACCTCATATATCTGATACATGGAGTGCATGCATATGTGGCTGTGGATGCAGCCTGATATGTATGTAGGAATTCATAATCCACACTTTAATTTATTGCTCATTTTTCCAAAGATTTTTCTTATTGAGCTTCAAGTAAGATGGGAATTTGTCTACCAAGTTAATGTACAAATTACAAGGCAATAGGATTGCAAATGGAGAAATAATCCAGGTAGAGAAAATTTATTTCAACTTTATTTGAAAAGTGGCCATGGGACAAGTGAGAGAAAAAAAGCTTGTGGAAATGTCGAGAGGAATCTGGGGCCATGAGAGTGAAGACTTGCTAGAAATTCTCCATGTACCCTTACCTCTGTGGTTGTAATCATTGTATTACTGATCCACAAAGTTCTGAACCTGACACTTTGGTTAGTAAAACAAAAAGGCATTATTGGATTTAGGGTGTGGCAGATATATTTTAGCTGTAGAAGGCAGTGGATCACCCCCTTTGTCAACCTGAAGTCAGGGACTTGTGTGTGACATGTCTCTCCTGCTGCCTCCTGTTGGCTCTGCTTCTGTTTCCCCCGGAGATCTCAAGCTGATTGGACATGTGCCACCAGAGAACAGCAGCTGAAAGTTGAAGACATTTTCCCTTGCTTTGAGCAAATGATAACTGTGATTGAAAGTACATTTATTTGAGTCTTGTCTAGGATTGTTGTGGTATCCATTATAGTCCTTCCACCTTACCTGATATCTGATGAAGAAAATGCGCCTTTTTCCTCTTCTAAATTAAAGCTAGTGTAAGAGATTGTGTAGATGTACAACCATAAGAGTCCCACCTTTGTTATCTTAGAAATCATAGTGATTATACCATATACCTTTGTTTCTAGCTTGAAAAAGGTATATGGGCCAGCCTTGCGGCACAGCAGGCAAAGTCATGTCCTGTGGTGTTGACATCCATATGGGTAGCAGTTCAAGTCCCAGCTGCTCCATTTATAATCCAGCCCCCTGCTAATGGCCTGAGATAAGTAGCAGAAGATGGCCCAAGTGCTTGGGTCTCTGCCACTCACATAGGAGATCCAGATGGATCTCCTGGCTCTTAGCTTTACCCTGGCCAGGTCAGGCCAAATTGGACTAGTGGTAGATGGAGAACTGATCTGTCTTTCCCTCTGTCTCTTTTCTGTTTACAGAAAAAGATACATCTCAGGGAAGAGTCAGGACCAATCATGGCCCAGTGTGCAAATATAATGCATGGCTTATCATTTCTGAACCAGTGTCAGTCTTTAACTGAACTGGATAAATCCTAAATGATATAGAACATAACTTGAGTTTCGAAAATCAAATATCTGAATTGAGTTAGAACCTTTTTGTGTCACTCCTCTATTATTGCCATGTTTGACAAGGTTTAGCTATCTTATTTTAATTTCTCCCAAAATGACAATTTTTAGGAAAAAGAAGTAAAATCTGCCCAGTACATAGACAGATGTCAATCTTTTTACTTCCTATTGAATTTGAAAATTTATTATTAGTGTATGTATATCTGACTTTTGCTCAGTAAACTTTTCCTGATACTTATCTGTTGTTTTCATTTGCTCTTATGACAAAAAAACACACTGCTGAACTAAGTCTCTATCTATTAAGAAATGCACGGAATGCTTTCACTATGCTGTTTGAAAACAAAAGTGACAGGACTGCTGTAGTGGTGCGTTGGATGAACAGTTGCTTTCTGGCCTGTATTGTATAGGATGAGGGTCTTTTGAATCCCTGATATTTCACTTCCTACCCAGCTGCATGATAATGCATGTGGGGAGGCAATGATAATGGCCCAAGACATTGGGTTCCACCCCTTCCCTAGAGCTGCAGATGGGGCGCTGGGCTCCTGGTCTCAGTTTGGTCCAGTCATTTGGGGTTGAATCAGCAGGTGGAAGACCTCTTTCTCCCTCTCTTATTTCTCCCTTTCTCTCTCATATTCTGTAATTTTTTCCCAGTGTTTTTTTTTTTTTTTAAGTAAGAGTAACCGCATGAGTCATTGGCTTCATTTGTTTTGAAAAAGCAACACAAAATAATTTTTTTAAAAATCGTGTTTATTGAGAGACAGACAGTGAGGAAAGTAAAATAGACAGAGAAAGATCCAGGCTCAGAGAGCTCCCATCCACAGCTTCACTCCTAAGATGCTCTCAGATCCCGGGACTGCCTGGCCCTGGGACCCAGCGGCTCTGTCCGGTTTCCTCTGGGGATGTCAGGAACCCTTCACGGGAGCCATCAGAGCTGCCTTCTTGGGTGTGCATTCCAGGCAGCTGTCATGGCAGCCACAGGTGGATATTGGCCGTGGACACTCTCACCTGGGCCACATACTTGTGAAAAATGAAAACTTGAAGCATAGTTGAGTACCAAATCTTTCCTTGGTAGTGGGAGTGAGTGAAATAGTGAAACCTGTGGAGTCTGAGCTTGGTGTCTCTGTGTCTCCCATGCAGGATTTACGAAGAGGATTACCTCAGGTTCCTTACTTCAGTCTCTATGGAGACCAAGAAGGTGCTTACGAACATCAAGGCTCTAGCCTTTTCCCCGAGGCTCCTAATGACTATGTCTTCAGTCATCTTCCACTTCACTCTCAGCAACAAGTACGAGCTCCTATCCCCATGGTGCCAGTTGGTGGGATCCAAATGGTTCACTCCGTGCCGCCGGCCCTTTCTGGTTTACATCCTCCACCCACATTGCCTCTGCCCATGGAGGGCTCTGAGGGAAAGAAAGGAGCTCCGGGCGAGTCCTTCGCGAAGGATCCCTACATGCTTTCCAAACGGCATGAGAAACGAGCCGCTCAGGCACTGCAGCCGTCTGGTCTACCTAGCACTCCGTCTTCTCCTCGGCTACTGATGAAACAGAGCACTTCGGAAGACAGCCTGAATGCCACCGAGCGGGAGCAGGAGGAGAATATACAGACTTGTACAAAAGCCATCGCCTCTCTCCGGATTGCCACAGAAGAGGCAGCTCTGCTTGGGGCCGAGCAGCCAGCACGAGGGCAGGAGCCCCTCCAGAAACCCTCGGAGAGCGCACACGTTAGCATTAGACACTTTAGCGGACCTGAGTCAGGTCAGCCCTGTACCTCAGCTCCCCACCCCGACTTGCATGCTGGTGAAAAGGATTCTTTTGGGACATCGCAGACTGCGTTAGCTCACTCCACGTCTTACAGCAAGACTTGTGTGGGCGAGAAACGGTCAGACTCCCTCAGCAGCAAGGGGTTGTCTTCAAGCACAGAGGGCGAAGAACCGTGTTCAGAGAAAACTCCGCTCCATTGATCTAACATGCATGGAAACTTTCACTTCCACCTTTTCCCATTTTGTTTTTGTTTTTGTTTTGTTTTTTTGTTTTTCTAGAAATAGAGGTAATCAACTTTATAGCATGCCTGTCCTAAGTTACAGTAGTTTGCTATTATATATACTTTTGTTATATCAAAAGAATTAGGTAAATTAACAAGTCATCATGAGCCTGACCAAAACAAAATTTGAAATTAACCTATTGGGTCTGGTACTTTTAAAATTGTACAGATGTCTGTGCCTTTTCTTTACTTTGCTTATATTCTTATAAGCATTTTTTAGCAGTAATTTGTACATATTTTAGAATTTGTGTATCTGCTTTGTAATAAATGTAATTTCTTTCCTTTTTTGGACACTTGGATCTAAATGATGTAAAGCAAAACAGCATCAATATATATGTGAGGTTGCACTAAAACATATTTTTATATGATTAAAACTGAACAGCTTTTATGTACAGCTCTGATTCTGTAATACTAATATTTATTTACTTTGTTTCATAAATTGTACATTTTTTCTTAATGTTGTGGATTGCTTTCCTATGTGAAGCATGGGATTTACTGTTGCGTAGCTAGAACAAAAAATGTACATGGTAAACAAGATATTTAAACTAGAGTATCTTATTCTGCACTTACGCATTAGTTTAAAAAAAAAAAGACAAAGGGTGTATCAGTCAGTTCTTAACTCTTGTAAATTTTTTGTCTCTTGTTTGCTGGATTGACCATAACTTAAGTGCTGGTTGTGTTTTTAAACTGATAGTACCGTAAAGCATTAAAGTAAACGATGTGCTATTGTGAGTTTTTTCAAAGCTTTATAAATCAGTTATAAATAATATTAAAAAAAAAAGTATTTGGTCTTATGTGAACATGTGGATCTATATACTCATCTAAAACTATGGGAAAACATTCCGCCCCGTGTAAATATGTACAAGTGCATCACTGGTACAATTTTATGTAACTCAGTTGGACAGGAGGTTGCCACAGACCTATGCTAGGGTGTCTTTAAAAATTAAAGTGACGGAGCACATGGGACTGTGTAGAGCTTGGTTATCGGCCGGCCCGGTGGCTTGGCAGGCAGTGCAGGGCGCTGCCAATAGAGGTGACTTGGGCTTAGAAGGTTCTTTGGTTTTTTTTGTTTGCACAAGACGGTTACTGGACCGGAAGCTCCACAGAGGGGTCGCACATCGACTTGGAGGGGTGGGTATGGAAGCAGGGAAGGGTGCTGGAGATCTGCTACCCTCTCTTCCCATCAGCCCACCTGTGTGGTAAGAGGGTGAACACCAGTGCTGGGTGAGTCACCCTCCCCTTGTGTTGGAGGGAAGTGTGTCTTGCTCCTGGCTGTCTCAGGGGGAACAGGGAAAGAGGCTTTGCGGGGAGAAAAACTCCTGGGAGGACAGTGTTGTTTGCATGTAACACTCCAAATGGCTGGTGGTCAGGGTGAGCAGGGGAAGAGCCTTTGCGGGTCTAGAAGTGCAAAGAGAGCACAGGGGGTAAAACAACATGTGCACACACATGCGCACACACACAATCTGGGTTATCTTTGTGCTATATAGTGGATTATAATTCTGTGAAACCAAGTTTGTATATTGAATTACATTAAGGAGTGTTCTTTAAAAAGAGAAATAAATATACAATTACATGCTTGAGGTGTTCAGTTCTTATGTGTCTAATTTCCCAGTTTTTCCAATTTGATTTCTAAAGAAACGCTGATGGTACAGCCTTGCCTCTGTGGTTTCAGTTGTCCTATGTGTCTTGAGCTATGCTGGGTATGAATGCGGGGATCAGGGGAGAAAACAGGCATCGCCTCCTTAGCTCACATGACTGGACCAGGATGTGATAATCACAGAGTGAGTCCTTGAAATGGATCGCTCAGATTTGAGCGCAGAATAAACTGTCCTGTGTCTGAAAAGTCATGAATGAAGAAAAGCATCACTTTGGCTTCTGCCCCAGCCCTCCTGTCTCTCTCACATATGTTTAAAATTCTACTGGGGGAACAGCTGCTTGACTTTTGCTCGGGAGATGAAGTAAGACATCAAAATAGACTGTAAAATCTCCACAAACCACTAATTTTGTCCATTACAGAGACTGAAGCCTTTTAAATAATAAAAACAAAAGCTTGTGAAAGGTCCAAATCGATTAGTATTTCCACCGTGAAAATCTCACACTGGTGCGTTTATGCCTTACCTACTTCACCTTATGAGACAGGCTGTCTTTGTAAACTGCATTTTATCATGGCAAACTAAAAGTCAAGCAGAAACTCAACAGAATATGTGTTTTACAGGAGAGAATCTTTGAAAACTTTTGGTTATATAGGATGGATTGATGTAGCGTATTTCTCATCGATGAGAGAGAGAGTGAAAGAGAGGGAGAGAGAGATTGATTTCAAATCAAATCAAATCACTCTACTTCCTTCTATATCCAATGCACCACTGATATATTCACTCATTTAACATTGTATTTTGGGTACAATGATAGGCATTTAAGTTGAAAAGGAAACTGCCATTGTCAAGCAGCCTAAGTAGATAGGAGAGGCACAGAATTAAGTTACTGCCAAACTTACCACTCACTTAGTGTATTTTATATCCACAAAAATTGATCATCCTGCATGCAGAGAACAGGAAGAGAGGCTTCACTACAGAAGTGGCCTTGGGATCCATACTTAGGCACAGACTGATGCAACTTCATTGGGACACTTTGTGCTAGCTCTGCACAATTGCCCAAGATAGCAAAGTTCTGCCTTCATGGTGTTACATTCTGGTGGGGAAGACACTGCCAAAATAAGAGGGGAAGTGCAAGTCAGACAGATGACTCAGGACGTGTGAAGCCGTGAGTGGGTACAAGGCAGGATCCGACTGACTGCGTGAGTATGTGGCAGTGTGATGCGTGATTTCCCATGTCAACCGCTTTGCATCTGGCCCTAGAAGCAATGGGAAGCTGAGGTAGGATCGAAGCAAGAAAGTCCTTGTCATTATTGTTATTATTATTTAAAAAAAAAAGAAAACATTTTAACAGTGAGGAAGGATAATGGATTTGAAGGAGACCGAATGAAAGCAGGGGAAGAAAGAATATGAAGTGATATCGCTTCTGGTGATATGAAGGCAGTAGTAATCCAGGCAGCAGAGGGACACCTAAAGAACAGGGACGGTGTTGTCCAACAAGGAAGAATTGATAATGTTCCATACCACTATCATGTGAGAAACAAAGGAAATGGAGGAGCTGAAGGTGATAAACTATTTGGGGCAATGGGAGAGAGTTACCTTTTAATAGAGACAAGAGTGACTTCAAAAGATGCTGGAAAAGAGACAAGCTCGTTTTGAGATACTCAACTTCAAGCAAGAAGATCTGAAGGTTGGTTCAGCTCTTCTCATCAAGGCTGTGAATGTGGAAATGGTTGCTTTTCTTAGCCTACGGAGGTCTGAGTTCTTGCAAAGGTGAGTGTGAAGCGTGGGAGCAGGCACAGCAGTCCGACAGATGATAATGTATGTTGTACAATGAAGCCTGAGGGTGGATCCTTTTTGTGATATTTTTGGAAACTCTGATTTTCATCTCTTCTCTGAAATAATTTCTGGAAAGCAAAACTAAGAACTTCCTTGAGGAAACAAAGAAAAACTAAACCTATTTTTGGAATTGGTTAGCTATAGCATTTCTTTAATTACATATTGACAAGTATATTGCCAAACAATTATAGATTATTAAAGCAGCCTATTGATTACACATGTTGTTTCAAAGCCTAAAGACCTAGAAAAGATAGGTGGTGATTTTAAGGAGCAGTTGGTAGTCTAGTGAAGAACTAGCTCCAAGATCTTCAGGTCTAGGTTTGCTGAAAAGACAGTCACATTACGCTTCCTATTACTCTGCATGTAGCTATAAACTAGAGTCACACAGCATTACTGAAAATCAGGGGAATCACTTCATAAGACCCTAAGTGGTGCCTTAAAATGAGAAAGGACAGAAAGCCGACCCTCGGTTTTCTAAAACTTTCTACGAATCAGTTTCTGTTAGCAAACCTGGACATGAAGCTAGGAGTTGGTTTTAGCCCTATTTCCACCATAACCACATAGCTCTCCTTAAAAACCTTAGCTGACTTCTCTGAGCCTTAGGCCTTCTAAAAACAGTTTATGGGTCACAAAATACCTCTTGCCTAGCAACAAATCTTGCCAACTTCATAAATGTACACAGATGATCAAAATAAAGCAAACCCAGACTTCCTCTCCACTCACTATGCACCCATAGTGTAATTCCGATTCAGTAATGCATCCCCCATCATGTAAGGCATCCCCTCATCAAGTGGATTCAAGCTTTGTTAACTTTTTGATGTAGCAGTTTAATAAGCAGAATTTTGTGCAAAATGAAATCATTAATGATGATATATTTTTCTTAATAGATATCACATAAACAAAATGTTCTAAAATTAGAAACTTTTGTATAAGAAAATATTTAAAGTCTCAGAAGGATAATACCGACCATATCATATTCCCCAAGGTAAAATGAAAAGGTCAAGTATTTTTGTGGATAATTCAGAGAGAAAACATGAAAATGGTCCAACAGGATTCCTCCAATGGGAAGCAAGCTTGAGATTACCTGGATAACCGTGCTGGCTATTTGTGTATGTCAGCAGAAGGCATGACAGCGGGGTGCTGGAGCCCTTTACTCTGAGCACTTGGTTTGCCAACAAAACCTGGTTTGAATCTACATCCTCATAAGGATTGTCCAGTTACAGCAAGGGCCGTGGTAATCAGTAAGTCTTGAGCCATTCTGCTTCTGGCAAGAAGCTTGAGTTCCTGCTCTGATTATAAGTTACAAACACTCAATTCTAGGAATACCTTGGCCATGATTTAAGGGATTGTGGTGGTGGTGGATTTAGTAGACTCAGAATAGCTATCTTTGAGTCCATCTCCACTTGTGCTATGTAGGAAGAAATCTGAACAGACCAAGCAGCCAGGTGCTCAGCCCCTTGCATCAGGAGAGAATCCTAATTTAAAACACCCTGTTAGTTAATTGTGACAAAAAGTGTGTGCTGCCTGTGTTTTCTTTTAGTCAATCTTTTGAAAAGAATGAGAAAAGTAATTTGCTTATGCACAGTCCAACAGCGCTTTCTATAATGGAAAGAAAAAGGTCTATAATTGCACTTTCTGATCTAGTCCATAGCTACATGTGGCTAATTAGCACTTAAAATATGGTGAGCACAAATGAGAAATTACCTTTTTGATTTTTACATTAAGTAAAATTTTTCATAGCTACTTACAGTGAGTGGCCCCTGAACTGTACATCCACCCCCATACTCACCCTTGAGACCTGCTGCCCCCCACACCTCTGTATACATTCTTTCATAGACAAATACTGAATGCCTATGTGCTCCAAATCTGTTCTTTGTATGGGGAGCATTGCATACAAACAGAACGAAAACTGCGTCATAGAACCTGTGTTCAATATTTATCACCAAATATCAATTTAAGAGTTTTGGTGATGGATGAAATCTTGCTTGCTTGTCTTTCTATTGAGTCTCAGACCTCGTGGTTTACTTAGACAATGACAGTCAAGCTATGCTTGTATGGGGATGTACACAGTCTCCTCAAGCTAGGAAAAGAAAATGTAGTCTCAAGACAGAGGTGATATTTCCAACCTATGGGGAGGGAATGAGTTATTGGGTTCTAGGAAAGACTGTTTCTGACTAACCCAGAGTGGCCGGATCTGGGCTGGGCCTGGGACAAGAATGAAGCCAGAAGGTGAGAACCCAATTCATATTTATCACATAAGTGGCCAGAATCCAGTTACCTGAGCAGTCATCTCTGCTTCCCAAGGTCTGTGTTGATGAAAAGCTGGAATTGGGAGCCGGGCACTTTGATGGGGAACATAGGCATTTGAATTGACACTGTGATAGCTAGGCCAAAATCCCAACCCACTCTTTACTTTTTGTTGTTGTTGTTAAGAGAAATAAACCAACTATTAATTATGACTGCACTATGTAATATTATTTCTACCAAGCATTATGTTTCTAGAATTCAGGTAGTAGAATCAAGTCATGATGAATAATGGAACAAACAGGGCAAATTATAGACATATAGAGTGAGTTGTTTTACTTTAGAACTTTGGGTCAGGATAAATAAATGTCATTGAATAAAAATAACCGCTCTGTCCTACCTTCCTAAGGGAAAAATAAAATGCCTAAGGAAAATGCCAAAATAAGTTCTTATTTAGTGTTTTTCCCTCTATCATTCTCCGTTTCCACATTAATCAATCATCCTCTTCTACGTGAGATGGATAGAAGAGATTAATTAGCTGCACCTTGGTTTTACAATGACAACCTCACCACAGAAACCTTCTTTTCACATTCCTTAACCATGAGTGAGATCTCAGAATATTTTGAGTCAACCAGTAACTATAAACACCAATGTAAACAAATCCTGCCGGCTGAAGAAGGAGGACAAGAATGTGCAGGAATGACATCTTGGAGTGCCAACTTCTGTCTCTCCCAGCTTGCACTTTTAAGACCTGCCTGTTTTCCAGTTGCACTATCTGACACCTAACATTTTAGACTTGGAAACAAAGCGGACCAGCCATACAACACACCTCCCCACATCCTTTCACTTTCCAAAAGGTTCCAGAAGGAAATATTTGGCTGTTTCCTAAATCATTTTAATAAG